ATCGAGTTTATAACAAAACTACGCCGAGCACTCTTCGTTATGTAAAATACGCCGCGGTGCGCAACAACTTTAATACCGTAAAGGCAGCAAAGGGGGAGGATAGACGGTTTCACGAATGCGTAGAAGAGAATTGCTATTCCGAGGGTAGCTATATATCAAGCTGCAACGCAAATATAATAATTGTGATCGGTATAACCTTTGTTCTTTGTTAATCCAAATTAAAATATCACTGAATGCAAATTCAGATTCACGTTAGAACGCTATCGTAGTTTATTGTGTCAGAGCTTCACTTTGGTTCTTGTAAAACATTCGCGTTGAGCAAACGTTTATACGCACATCGGGAAACGTAAAATACGAGACGCGCGGTGCTTTTACGTCCTCGAACAGCTGACGGCGTTTTGACGTATCGCGATTAATCAGAATCGACGTGCACCGGCGGAGCGTGGTATTAAATCGCGTCGTAAAAGAGCGGCAAGAGGCCGGCTGGCGCGTATGCTCGCGATTACGGCCCCCTTCGGTTGGTACATCATCCCCCAGCGCATCCCCGACGTTCCTCCTTTTTCACGACGGTCTCCCGACTTCTTGTGCTCGCTATAATGCGGAGAGCCGCGTAAAGACCGGCCACAAAACTCGGCGCAGGTACATACTCGTCGTACAAGGTTCCGCTCGGAATTATAACTATAAGCGCCATAAAGCTCGCAAACAGAGAGGAATGCATTTTTACATCAGGCGATCCAACGCGTATCGTCTTCGTTACAGACAGACCGCTGCTATAAGATCAAGAAAGAGGAATTAAAGTCACGCAAAAAGTACTACAAATCAAAATACGGCGGAAAAGCCTGGAATTCAATAGACAAGAAAAATCGCGTGTTCCGTTCACTCAATTAAAGTTAATAACGTATCCGAAAAAAATGTTGTTCAGTTAAGATAAGCTTGTCTTGGCTCCGACAGGATTATCTGCAATTAGGATATTCAACAATAAGATAGTAGCGCTATCTTAAGCGATTAAACATCGCTAAAAGGCACGATAAACAATTCGCGACATCCAATTGATCGCGAAGCAATCCAATGAAAACCAGCTGGGCAATGGTTAATTAGAGGGGAAAGAAAATGCCATGTCATCCGTGCATGTCTCTCTTTCTCTTAAAGAAAGACTTGTGCTTGGATGTGCAGCAGGAAAGATAACTGGCGACATGGAGGCGTCTAACACCTGTTAACGAACGCAGCCTCACCTTTAGGTGCCTTCAAGAACGTCGATACAGTTATTCCAACTGCAAGATCGACATCCTTTAAGGTCACCTACTCCTAACCGGCTATCGCGATGAGCAACTCTGCATACTAGGACAACGACAGATTCGCGATGCCGAATGGACGATCCTTAAACTTAGCTCGTGGAACGCGCGGCTTATGGAAAACTCTCAGTTAGTAACTTATTCCCGTATTAATACCGATCATAGAATTACGCGAATAAAATCCAACGCATACACAGTTTACGCGCATAAACGATTACTTAACGATGTTTCATGATTTCAGTAATATTAATTTGATAAAATCGCCGACCGGTTCACGATTATTAAAATACGAATAATTATCGAATTCCTCAACATACAGGAATCTTGTAGATTCAATCGTAGACTTTCCTTCTCTTTTCCTCGGGATATTTATTGAAATGAAAACTAATAGAGATTTCCTTGCGATGCACCCGAGGATCAGAGATAAACTTTTCATCTCTCTCTCTCTCTCTCTCTCTCTCTCTCTCTCTCTCTCTCTCTCTCTCTCTCTCTCTCACTTTTCTGCTTGATATTTTTTATGAAGTTTGCATCGGATTGATCGAGGCATGGAATTAATTAAAAACAACCGGACTATACGAAGGTCTGCTCGGACCCACAGAACCGGTCTAAATGCAAGATGGCGTGAGTATTATCGATTTGTCATCAGCTGATAAAAATCTACAACACCCGTGCTACTCGTTCACCTTTTTTCTTCTTTTTCATTCGATGTACGACCCTTCATTAAACTGATGTACTGGAACACGAAGCATCGCGGTGCAATATTGTCGGCCGATTCAATAATTAATGAGCTATTACCACCAAAAAAAGTGGCTCGTTAGTTTGTATATGTAAACTAATACAAAACGGAGATTTACATGATTCATCTTCGAGAGAGGCTTATCACGAGAACGCATGTAACCGTTTCATCATTTTTATTCATCGTTATTTTCGCACCTCTCGAACCATCGGGTTGTCAGCTATTTTATTGCATTTCGAATACCAATTTCAATACCAAGAAACATGCGATAATCAACCAGCTACAAGTTCAAACCATTAACTAGTGACTACGTTTTAATATAAGACGTTTCAACGCAAAACTTGTTAAGCTCAAAGTGATTTATGATCAAATGAATGAGAGCAAAAATAAATTAATTCTAAAATAAAAACCCATGTAAAGTCCTCCGTGTGGTCTCTTTCTCTCTCTCTCTCTCCCCCTCAATTTTTGAAAACATTAACTATCTATAGTTCATTCGATCGCTTATCGTTTACAAATGTATGTGATTAAAACCGTTCGCGTCGCAAATAAAAAATATCTCCTCAAAAGGACTATTAATATCGTTTGCACGACGATTATTAATTTCCCATGTCAGAACATGCACAGTGGCACGTACTTCATTAGACGCGTTGAATCGCTGCAATTCGGCAATTCCGTTAATTACTGCAATTACCGGTGTACGCATCGTGCACGCCATTCTTACGCAAACGCACTTATGCAAATCACCATATCGCTGCCAACCCGAGTACAGTTACGACCGTGGGTACGACGCGCGATCTATACAGGGGTCCTCCATACAGGTTAATCCAGCAAGATGATCGTTGACCCGCGATCTGGGAAGTGTGCGCGAATCGCGATTTAATTTGCGATCGCATCGACAGCGTCTGTATTCATCTGCCTTCGATTACGTCCACTCGCAAGATACATGAAAAAGTGCCCTTACACCTCGCGTAGCTCCTTATCTGTGATAGCTGTATCCGACTAGAGGTCGAGGAAAGAGGGAAGCGCTAATTATCATCGTCGACAGGTAACGCTCGTTTGTTAAACGCGTACGTCGATCGTACGATAAATGCGCAACAATGTCCATTAAAGCATTAATTAATTGATTAACTTCACAATTCTTCGTGACATCATAATTAACCCTTTCAGACTTACAGCTAAGAAAAAGTTTTGCATCAATCTCGTGATGAAGGAAAGAGCCACGATTGTATCTCACGAATATGAAGGGGAAGAGAGGATTGACTCGTGAACAGGGAGCATTAGGTGAATGAATATTGTTATAGCGCAAGCTGAAAGTCTAACAGTACCATTGTGCATCCATTGAAAGGAAAAAAAAAACATTGATACGGGCAAAGTTCATGCTACGAAACGGTGCTGTATCGTGAAATCTCCGAAGGTTAATCAGGATGTGGGGATTGATAGGCGCACAAAACGCAAAGCGTCGAGATAAATTGACGCGAAGGTATTTATCTGTAATTAAGTCGGTCGCAATTAAAGCTGATCATCGATCAAAAATTATTTGCTATTTCAGGCGGATATATGTGAAATCCTCGCTGGCGTATTAATGAACGTTGTGCGTTCAGCGAGAGAATGCGCAGGAGGTCGGAAAGGGCTACAATAAGAGTGAGGGAGATGAAATGAGTGGGAGGAGGAGAAATCATAAATCTGTGTAATTGACAGGTCCCGCTGAAGATGTTCGTGCGGCATAGATGCTCGAGCAGATAGCTGGCTAATAATGCTCTGCCTGCTCGCTAATAATCTACGAACGTGTATAATAGGCGCTTTGAGAAAATGCCATCTTCCCATATTGTAAAGCAAAGCGGCGATGAAAAAATTAACACACTCGTATACAACGAGACTTGCATTAATCGGCGGGTGGTCACGCCCGTAATTAACACCTCGGGGCAGAAAAGCCGAGGGGTGAAGAGTACTCGTAGAATCTCGTGAGGCGAGTAGATGTGTAAGGATTTTCAGTCGCCGTTCTCTCTAATTCATTCGACGTCGGCTCGCAACGTTGAAATTACCATCGTCGCGAATATTCCCGCGTCATACGTGCTAGTGCGGCACGTACACGCAAGCCAGAAACATCTATCGAATGTGTTTGCAAATCGCCGCAAGGCTGGCGGTAATTTAATTTGAAATCAAAGATCTATCTTTTTCTCTTTCTCCATTTCTCTATTTCTCTCTCCCTTTTCCCGGCGGAGAGGAAGTCGAATCCGCGTACCAGACCACCGTGTGCGCAACGGAAATAAAGAACCTCCATGAAATTATGCACCTGTCCATTAGTCGCTTACTCGTTCTAGGGGTTCTAGGTGTGCGCATAACTTTCCACGGGTCCTGTGCTTCACCGTAATCTCCCTTTGTATCCTTCGTAAGGTCGCGTGAGAGCGCAATAATTTAATTCAACAGCGGACATAAACTCGGTCTAACCAATAAGGACTCGCAGCCCTTCTCAGCGACGATTCTCTTCGTTCACGCGTGTCCTCGAGTACGCGGGTATATCAGGGTATTCACAAGCGTGTACGTGCGTATAGAAAACGTGTACCAGCCCAGCACGTATCTGCGGAAGTGCGATTGTACGCGCACGAGTCCTTAACTAATCGCCGACGAAGTTCGAACCCCATGGTCTGGTCGCGGATCGGAGTTACACCGAGACGAAAGTAATGTAATGTTAATGAACGCTTACTTACGTCATAAATCCGTTTCTATTGCGATCGTTTTCAGACACAACGATTAACCTCGCTCATGTGCGTTCCGCTCAACGACAAGACGTCTGTTTTCTGTAATTGTATTATAGTGTATACTTTTGAAACTTAAAGTGAGGTAGATATATGTTTGATATCTGACGAAAGTGAGAAAAACTGATGCGAGTAAAACCGAATAATGATATTACATAGCACCATGCACATTATTATTAACATCTTCTCAATGCGTATATACGGTAGCATGAAATTATGCAGCAGAAAAGGATTTCCAGTAAGTTGCGAATTAGTAAGCCGTCCGCTTTGGTCAACGTTTAGGAAGGTAATATTCATTATTTTAGATTCTCCGTTGAAACTGTATAATTCGGCTCTAAAATGTGGCCCTATTCCGAAGGGTTTTATTGGTAATCAGGAGCGACGAGAATACGAACCGTCTCAAATCGCTTGGGACGTGCCATGGCCATTAAGGTCATCCACACGTGCGCCATTAAGATACCCCTTTACCGTGCAGGGTAATTCGCTCATGTAACAAGAGGCGGATAAAAGGGTCGAATCTTGCGGATAACGGCAGCAATGCACCCTTCGTAATCGCCTTCGATCATCGTAATGCGACATACATACACCCGCCTTCGGCGCAAAATTAGCCGATATCGAGCGATTGGAAGCTCGTCTGATGGATGCACAAAAAATTTACTCCACCGATTACGTAGCCCTCATCCGACAGAGGGGATATTATGATATTAATATTATAATATCTTCAACAGTCCCTTGCTTTTGCGCAGTCAAAGTGTCACCGTTAGTGTGTAATGAGAGCAATTTAATAAATTTTCTGCGATATTCATATTTAACCCTAAACTAGGCATTAACTACATAATCGATCGACTCATAATCAGTTCGGATTTCAGAGGCCCTTATTATTCCTCAGACAAAATAAAATGTAAATTTCAACATTGGCAAACGATAGTTAAACGTATGCTCGACAAAATTCGTCGAATCGGTCAAAAACTTAATGATACAAAACGTTTGAAAAAAACAAGAAAAATCACAAAAATCTCTGGGCCTTTAGACTCCTGTCTTATTAAGGATTAATTATAATTGAAATGAATCAATAGAGAGATCAAAGCAAAAAAATTTACAAGCAATAATATATCATTCTTAGACGACTAAAAGGGACCAAACGTGATACTGACCAAATATTTACATTGTTATCTTTATTTAACGGTGCAATCATTCATCATTCCGCATTCACGCGGCGTAAGGATAATCAAAAACGCAATCGGTTTGCCGCTCGCACTGTTCTAATTAAACAGTCATTAATCATTTGGAACGTTAGTCGCGACGGAGCGTGCTATAGATTCCTGACAAGCACGTGATTAGGTATGACCCCCATGACCATTTATGAATTAGGTGTCGAACGTGCGCTTTATGGTAACCGTTATTATAGGCGCCATTAACGGTTCAACCGCGTGATACCGAAGACAATTTTCCAATATAGTTTCGTTAACGAGACAAGCTTGTCGAGTAACTTGAATCGTTTTAATTTAGCAGTCCTTGCTCTGCTAATAAAAAGCGCTTGAAATATCACTAGCAAAACAGATTTCAGCGAGAGTGGTGATTTGCATGAGCGTGACATTATACCTTGAGCAAAAACCAATTATCTAAATTGCCATTATACGTATAAACTCGAAAGTGTATTACGCTTTTAGCGACGAATTAACGCATATATAACTGAATTTAATTCCTCTATTTAATTAACGTATCAAAATTATATTAAAACCTCTGTTAAATATAATCATGGAATGCAGAAAAAAATTAATCTAGTGTAAAATAAAATTCTTAATTAGTTTTCGTTTAAAAAAAGAATAATAAAGTTAGGGATAATGGATTTGAAATAAAATCGGAATTTTCATTTAGTTTAGAAAACTCGTTTATGATACAAATATTGTGCATGCTAATTCGATTCTGTTACGTGCGCTGTAATGAGATAAATCATAAACGCATCTCTTACATGAAATTGTAACTAATGTGTTGCAAATCCAACTGCCATTAAAACGGTACAATATTAAATAACGTTCCAAGACAAATCGACTAAAGAGCGATCTAACGCTCGCTCGCAGCTGGAATCGTGCAGCAATGTTTTGTCTTATTTATCGCGCTGAGATCCACTTAAGCGCGCATTACACCCAATCAGTTGAATAACATGTATGAGACACGATTACATAATTCGTACCGTATACTTTGATAATTCATAGCTTAGATAATCCATATATTTCGATACTTCGATTTATTTATTTCATCCTTCGAAATAAAGGTCACTTTATCATGCTGCTCCTGACTGGATTTGTTCTTATCAACTAAGCAAAGTGTTTGGGATCTGCGAGAAGAGACTTAGCAACGATCCTGTCTGCGGTGTGATATACTCTTATCTAACGTGCCGCAAAATTCTTATTCTGTTTGAAAGCGGTGCTATCACCGATATGGCGAATATGCGAGTAGCAATCACCGCATCGTCGGTGCACCAAACCTCGTAATCGTGGCTTGCACCGCGGGACAAAACGATCAGCAAGGATCTATCGAGGCACTGATCGTGCGTGGCCGCTGCGTCGTTATGTGGAACGATTGCGATACTGCGGTACAGTTACCTTGACACGAGGAGAGCACATCCTTGCGGCGTGCATGAAACGAGGATGAAAACGGGGCCGCGTGTGCCGTGAATGCACGTCGATAAATATTTCTAGGCTACAGCAATGTGCGTAAGAAAACATAAATCGATGCGGTGTCGTATAAAATATATCCATCAAATTATTCGGTTAAACCGCTTGGTTTTGTATATCGAATTCTGGATATATAAATTATAAGCGTGCACAACGTTGACGTTAGGTAAAAATACATGTAGTATAAGAAAGGAAAGAACTGGTAAGTAGGAATTCAGGATGTCGCCGAATATTAGGCAAATGGAGTATGCCTTTAAAAACCAACTGTCACGTAATTTTTAAGTTCATTTTAGAATTCACAAATTCATACGCCAATAAATGTGACGAGGCAATAAATAAAATGACCACCATAAATCGCTACAAGTTCAAGTTGTCCAGATACATTATGCCTCGTTTAAATGAATCGTCCAGTGGTTGAGTTATCTAGAACGCAGATGTTGCTACCTGCCTACAAAACGACTTTGTATGCATTAAGGAATATCGTGTAGATATTTTATTACAGTGTGTGCGTGAACACCATGACATCCGCAAAATCATCAATAAATGCGAAAGATAAAAAAAGCCATCTGTCAGACATCAATGGCGGCTAATCTTCTTGTACAAGTATGTCAAATATATAATCAAGATGCAATCTATCATGCTTCAAACTTACTTGCTTGAGTAACATTCCAGCTAAATGCCCGATTTGATTTTATTGCGCGAAATAATGCTGATTTAAGAATTAAAATTCTATCATCGAAATGGATCAATTTAAAAATTGATGTTCCAATGTACGTATAGTATAACTATCTCACGATTCTGATTCGATGCAATCCTATCTTTTTCATTCTCATAAGTATCTGACGTTTTTGTTAAAAATATTCTCCTATTGAAGGGCGTCGATTGCTGGAGAGGTGCTCGTGTTTCGATATATCGAGATGTAACGTAAAATAAGTGGAAGTGGAACGACGATGATCACAAGCGAATAAGAAATCGGACGAAGTAAGACGAACCTGGAATCGAGGCGAGATTCAATCTCAACGGATGAATTCACCATGAAACGTTGCGATTCACCACATAAGCGTTTTCGTACGGCCTTCTTGTAATCCTGGTCCATGCTATTTTCTCGCATTTACTCGCATTTCCTTCCTCATACATTTTTCTCTCCTTCGATTCATGCTTCACACATTTGCTTCTTGCTTGATACAACACTTTATTTTGCATTACTTTTTCCACTGCTTTTCATCTAAGAATTTTTTGCCATTCGCTGAATAAACTATTGTTTAACAAAACTGCAGGTTTTTCTATTTTTATAGATCTATCTTTTCCCGATTGTTATACTTTTAGCATATTATGTCACGCTAGAAAAATGGCGCGTATAAATGACGTTAGAAGATTTTCAACTTTGAGTTAAATAGTAGATGCAGTGTATTAAATCGGCCGATGTTCGTTGATGCTCCTAAGCTCAGTTATTACTGAAACTACTGTAATCAATGCTAATACGGGGCCGGTCGTCGGTACTAAGAATTAACAATTTCCGCTAACCTAAGGCTTACAGTGCTAACTTTACGCGCGATGCAACCAACGCCGTAGTAAATCAATATAAAATCGTAAATATTAATCCCTTCTCTCTTTTTCTTCCCGCATAAAAAGCAGTAATATGTGGAAGAAGCTATTTATTGCGATAATTATTTACGATGCGGACGCCCACGTGACTTAGGGAGAGCATGATTAAATTGTGTATTGCAATAATTAAAACCGCGAAGTATAATGTACGATAATGGTGTACCGCATTCTTTCAGATACTACAAAAACAAAATTACTCTATCGGCGTCAGTTTTAATTGCACACACAATCTAAGAAATAAAAGTAGTTAGTAGATAATAAACTAATTACGATACATACATACGTATAATATTGCGACGTATATTACATTAATTGTACAAATATTAAAGTTACTAATTTTTTTATTTTCAGCAAAATACTATCATTTATTATGTAGTTTTCTTGTTTGGAAAGATCACTACATCCATTATATTCGCGTGTGTAACCATTCCATCCTTCCACTCAAGCTTATTTTATATCTCGGTACGTCAAAACGTGTCATTATTAAATACATATAGCGTGCAGATTCTTACAGTGTTAAAACAAGTCTAAAACTGCCCTTAATACTAATAAGAAGCAAACAGTAACATGTATGTTAGCCATTAACAAAAAAAAACAGACTATTATAACATGGCGCAAATTCTTTCTCCGACATTCGTTTAAGAAATTTTGTGCATAAATAACAAAATATCTAAATATAAGAAAAAGTTTGTGGATTTCAGATTATATCGACCCGCATTTCTCGTCGTTTAATGCGCGGCTGAATGATTATGCCGCTCGTTTGCTTTATACTCTACCGGACTGTCCAATTGCTTACTCGGTAAAGTTGCTGTTTAAAGACCACGTATAATCTCCTCTCCATCGTCGAGAAGCTAAATGGAATCCGTGGACAGGCGACACCAACGGTATCCCCTGTCCACAACCGCGAACGTCGTTCCGCTCGAAGACATCGGCGTCTAACGACGTGCTTGCTTAGCTACCAAGACAAATGGTGCACCCTACATACATTTGTATATTTCGCGATGTTTGTACACTCGGTAAACAACCGAAGCATAAATTGCAGCGACGCAGTGCGTATTGTTTCGTGAACATATGCTGGAGATGTATTTAGGTATGTTTCATTGCTTAATTTCTTTATAAAAAAAAAAAGTAGAGATCAAAGTTCGTTACAAATATGATTTTTTTCATTAAATAAAAATATACTCATTGTAATTAACTCTTGATTGATAAAATAAATCGTGATAAGAAATATTCAGATCATGAAAGTGGATTCTAGAAGTGGCAATCTAAATGCAATGTCTTAAATTGTCCAATCTTAATTTGATAATCTTTCTTGTATTAAGTGTAATAAATATCATTTTTATATGCAAATAATATCTGCAAAATATTAATATTCAAAACCATATATATGTAATATGTAAATGTTTGTAAAGATCTTCAGTATATTAGGCATGGGGAAGGAGGAGAGAATTTATAAACTCGCTAAGCCAAAATGGTGTGAACCGGACATATCTATTTTTATAGATAGCGCGCTTTCTCTTTCTCTCTTTCTCTCATAATATTATTTTAAAATGTTCACGGTGCCACCTTGTAAAATCTTTTACAACATTTCGCACAGGTATAGTTCGCCGACAAGCAGAAATGGGATTTGCTTCATCGACTGTAGATATTCAAACTTTAACCAAATCGTTCAAAAAGTCCTCACTAAAAGCATCCTAGAGAACATTGAGACGTTTTATAAGACATCATAAAGACTTCCTAAAATTCATGAGACATTTTTCGAAAACATTAGAATGACGTCTTCAAGATGTCTTATGCGTCTATTTATGACATTCTAAAGACATTATCTTTAAGACATCTTACAGACTTTTATGATGTTTTACAGATTTACCTTTATGACGTCTTACAGACATTATTCTTAAGACTCGCTTCGGACATTTGTCTAAAAAATAAAAATAAAAATTACTGATACGCGTTGACAAGAGGAAGTATACAAAACAGAAATTGGAATTACCTGATAAATCTGTATGTGAATGTAATTATATTTAATACAAATTTTCAATAACGATTAATAATTGTGATAGATAATAGATCGTTATTGAAAATATATACTAAGTATGATTTTACATTGTAAATTCTCAAGTATACATATAAATTTTCATACAAATAAATTTCTGAAGATAAAGAGAACTTGATATATTTTAGAACATTCTGTATTGTAAGCATGCATCCAAATAAAAATAAAAATAAAAGTAAAACTTTATAAATGAAATGACTTAAAAAATGGCAATACAGGTAAGATTTTGAGAAATGTCTAATAGTATTTTTAAATGTAAATCTTAAATACATTTTTCATTTGTATAAAGTGCGCATAGCTTACAAGAAAACTTAAAACAATTATAAACTAAAACTGAAATAATAATATTACAACTATTATAAGCTGTGTCGATTAGATAATGATACTGCTGACATCATTATCCACTTAACAATTGTTAAAACTTAAAAAAGTTAAAAAAAAAACAAAGAAATAGCAAATGTCATCCATAGGAAAAAAAGCAACAATTACCTACGTATGATAAAAAAAAAAATGAAATTAATCGATCAATATATTTCTAGCTTTTATTCTATATCTAGCGTTAATTATTTAGAACATTGCAGTATACGAAACGTGACGTACAAATGCATACGCATATTTGACGTCGCGTTGTGTTATACTATTTATGTCTTAATTAACACGTGCAATATATTTTATTGAATAAATTCGTCTTTGTGTTTTACATATATTATTTATTAAAATGGATCTACAACGGTATTTGTTTTCGATTGCATTAGTTTTATTAATGACAACACGTATCCATAGCCAAATGCGACCAATAAAAATCGGTAAGGAATGATCATTTTTTAAAAATTATTATAATAAATTTTTAAAAACGTATCACTCATGCGTAAAAATATTGTATATGTTTAAAAGAATTATTTAATGACAGAATTGACGAAGACTGAAATTTCTATGATAATCTACTCAATTGGTAATACGTAAATGTAAAAAGTATTTTAAACCAAATCAGTATTTGCAAAGACTCACTTTTTTCAATTATATTGTAAAAAATTGTTTATAACAAATATTTTTCACAACATTACATAATTTTAAGTTACATAACAATATTCTTCAAAAATTAACATAATGTCATGGCTTATTTCGAGTTATAATTAAATTAATTTAAAATTAATATAATTAACAAACGTTTCGACTTACAAAGCCTTCTTCAGTGCTACAACGCAGAGATGCAATCTTAAATTGTATTTAATGAATAAAGAATAACGGATACAATGAAAATTTAAAAACCATAAATGGTGAAGTGTCATAGTTTAAAAAAATTAATCTACTGTTGACTGTAGTATCTAAATGTTCCTATCTTTTCATCTGGCGGGATACTTATTGACGTTCGAATTTTTTTATATTTTTATATTCATTTATATATTTTTTACGTTTGTTAATTATATTAATTTTAAATTAATTTAATTATAGTTCGAAATAAGCCATGACATTGTGTTAATTTTTAAGAAAATATACAAACATTTTTTACTCCATTTTAATGTTCCTCAAATTTTTATTTTCACATGAATAAAAAACTGTTTAATTATTGAGTTGTCGGAAAAGTCACGATGCATTTTTCAGCTCAAAATTTATACATATATACAATATCTTCTCTTAAAAATAAACGCAATTTAAATTTTAAAAAAGCGTTTTAAAGTATAAAGTTTATTTTCAAAAGCTTATATATTTTTTAAGTTTATGCGAGTTTGGTAATTTTTACAGAAGAAAAAAATAAATACCAGCTGAAAAAAATAAAAAAATTTCTTTTCACTTTGTAGATCTGTAACATGCCTAAAAAAAATTTGAGAACAATTTCGACTATCTATCGTAAAAACTTGCAGCTTTCCCTGCAAAATCATTTTTTTAAAATATTCCTACGATTCTTTATTACTGAATAATCGCGAATTAAATAAATATTTTGAATTTAATTGCTTATAACCTCCATTAAGAAACATCTTGACGTAACTATTAAAACAGATTCTTAAAGCTGAAACATTGCTCTATCGAATGGTATAATTGAATGTAGGATATATATAAATTTGAATTAAAAATGTAACAAAAATACGTCATGACTTTTCCGACAATCCAATACATTAACTTCAAGCAAAGATATATTAATTTAAAGTGCAATAGACTTGTGAATACCAGTTCAGAAAATTTCGAAACAAATACCAATTAAGATTAATATAATATTCCATTTGGGAGAACAGTCACATACATATTAAATTTAAATAACAAAAAATATATAAATTATTAATTATTTTCTTCTTTTTTATACCGAATTATGTTATATGTCATTAAAAAACGATATGTAACAACATTGTGTCGATTCATAATTAAAATAAAACGAAAAAGACATGTTTAATATAAAAGAAGGTATCAATACAAAGAAAGTACAAAAACAATATAATATATTATAGTAAGTAAAAAATATTTATAATAAAATAATTTTTAATTAAAGTTCATTAGTAATAAATTTTGCGCGTGATAATATCAGTATATAATCATAAAGTCACCCAAGAGAAATATTTTTAATGACATTCACATGCTTGTTATTTATTGTTAATCCGATACGCGTAATTAATAAAATAAAAAACTAATAAACTAGTAAGTAAATTAATAAACTCGTATGTATCAACTAATATTAATTATTAAAGTAAATACATGTAATAATTATTAACAGATATAATAAGCAAATTAATTGTGATATATAAATCTTTTTACTTTAATTAATCATCAGATAAATTTATTAATAATTCAGCACGTTCATATATTAGGTGTTGGAATTAATTCGTAGCGTTTTACAAGTGATGGGAAGTACTTTCATTAATGTATTTTTTAATGCTCATGTGAAATAAATAACATTCTTTCATTAAAAACGCTACGAATTAATTCCAACACCTAATATATTTATTCTTTACAACAAATATGCATATACATATATCAATTTTTTAATTAATTTTTCATTGATTAATATATTTTTAGGAGCAATTTTTCACAAAGGCGAAGAACATCTTCAATCTGTATTCTCAAGAGCAATCTCTGACACAAAAAATGAAAACCATGAACTCGTATTTGAACTTGTAGCAGTCATTAAGTACATCGAAGGCAATACCGACAGCTTTATGACTGCTATAGCTGGTAAGTACGTGGTGAAATCAATTATTCCGAGTGATTATTCCATAATGTTGATATGTATTTTTTATAATAATTATAAATCTATTTTCCTACATAACATACTTATTCTAATCCTAAGAAATTTAAAAACTTTTTAAACTATCTCTACAATTATATAATGTACATATTGTAATGTAAGTAAGATGTTATCAAATTAAATAAAGTAAAATTAGCATCCATCTTCAACTTTTGAAAAAATTAACGGTATACCTTTATACGGTCTGACCCAAATGACTTCTCAATAATCTTGATGTTCATCATTTTTTAATGATAATATGGAGCGAAAAAAATCAATGATCTTGAACTTCTTAAAGGTCAAAGTCAACATCGAGATCAATGAAAAATTATTTGGGGCGAACTATGTAAAGGTAAACATTTACTAAATTAACTTTCTATAGCGTAGAAATGTGCAAACAAAAAAATTCAAAGTGTGTATACATGTGCAAACGATAAGCAATCAAATGATGTATAGAAAATTAATTTTATCAAAAATTGGGACCCAACTTCAGACGGGTATCAAATTAAAGTATGTTTATAACTGAAAAAGGAACAAGAGATTTATTCTTTTTTAAGATTTTTTTAATATAAATATGCGAGGAAATTGGAAAAAACAGATTTATGAAGAAGGATTTTTATTACATAATTATTCTAATTTTAAACATATTTGTTGATTTACTTATTCGATATAGTATTATTTTCTAATAGCTTGTGAACTTCTTGAGGAAGGGGTGGCAGCCATTTTCGGGCCTTCCAGTCGGTATACTAGTGGCATAGTTGCGAGTATTGCTGCGAGATTTGATATTCCGCATATAGAGTATGTTTGGCGAGAAAGCAAAGAAAAGCAAAATCGGAAGAAAGCTTCATCATTAATGACCATAAACATATCCCCTGCCAGTGAACAAGTTAGCCAGGTTAGTCAGTTATTCGCAATTTAAAAGAATCATTTTGTATCTAAATATGTAGGTTTAAGATATGTACACTATGATAACTTGGACATGTTTAACAGTGCAAGTAATAATTTAATTTACTTTTATGGTGATTTTTAGATACATATTTAGTTAATTAATCAAAGTTAAATCGTTTTTATAACACGTTAAACATTCGAAATACAATTATTATATTTGTAATATATTTTCAATCAACAAAACTGTACAGGCTATCGCCGATATCATTAATTCAATGAACTGGCGAAAATTCGCAGCGATTTACGAAACTGATGAAGGACTGTCTCGTCTTCAGAAAACTTTGATTCTAAAAGGAGACGAGAACGATCCGATTATACATACAGCATGGAAGCTTGACGAAGGACCGGATTATCGCTCAATGCTTAAACAGATACGCTATTTGCCAATGCAGAATATAATTATCGATGTTAAACCGGAAAATATTATGAAAGTGCTCCATCAGGCAGAGGAAGTCAGTTTACTGTCAGATTATTCCGACTTCGTAATTACATATTTGGTACTGTATTTTAAATATACTGTATATAAAATAACATGATAAGCGTTTCAAAAGCGTATTTTAGGTATTATAAAGTCAAAAAGCTTGATAATTAAAAAAATTATAAGTTAAACTTTTAAAAATTACATTTAAAGAAAATTAAATAGAATAGGAAAAGCATAATATTATTCTTCTTGTGCATCTCCGATTGCTAGAAAACAAATAGTTTTTGAAATAATTATTCCGTTAAATCGTAGGATTCATCCATTTTATCTATTATCGAGATGCTAAATGGTACTTTTAATATCACTGGACTGAGCATAAGAGAGAATGATGACATAGAAGGAATTGATTCGGTATTTATTTAACAATCCCCCTTAATTATCAGCAATAAGCATAATATAATATATTATAATATAATCTCATAATATAATATAATATAATATAATATATTATGAGATTATAATATAATCTCAAAAGTTTATATTCTCTTATTATATTTATATGTACAATTCTTAAGTACTTGCGTCAGATCTACACCGGATCTATAAATTAATGAGTGCGAACAAATCGCTCGAATATTTGTAAACAGTCAGTGCCTCGATAGTGAAAAATTATAACAAAAAAAGACTATTACTTATTACAAATATCAACGAGTAAACGTCTACGAAAGACTAAAATATTTCTGCAATTTTTTGTTGCACAAGCACTTAAGAAAAGAAAGTATTTATTTATTCTAGCAGACAGATTAACGTCTATTTAATGTTTTCACATTTCATATTGAATTAAGTGATACAAATATTTTATATTAAAAATTCAAAATAAAAAATTATATAAAATAACTACTTGAACTAATTTGCGATTTTGATATAGTTAGATTCAGCGGTCCTCTATGACGCAGTATTTTTGTTGCATACAGCATTAGAGACTTTAAATGCAAGAAATATTGAAAATGAAGTAGATATGTCCATTGATCCTATACCACTTTCTTGTACTAATAGTACTAGAAAGTATCAAGTAGGATCTTATATTACTAGTATTATGCGAGAGGTAAGGAGAAGGTCTTTTTTTATCATTTCTTATATAATAAAAAAATGACAATTTGATTTTAAGCCTTAAGACATATAATATTATGAAAAAAGTAATTTAATTAATAACGACTTTCTTACATTTTTATATACACTTACATAAAAAAATAAACTTTCCAAAGTTAATTAATAAATTAAGTTAATTTAATTAATATTAAATCTATTAAATGTGACTGACATAATAACTTTACTACTTTAACACAACTGTATTTAAATAATGAACATTCGCGAAAAAAATATTTAAAAATTAATATCAAATCTTCATTATTTACTTTTAACGCAAGAAAATAAATGTTTACTTTCAATGTACAAAAATTTTTCTTACACAGATATCAAAAAGAGGAAAAATAACAGGTATTATATACATTGATGAATATGGCCGTAGACGAGATTTTAATGTAAAAATCTTGAACTTTCGACAATCAAGTATGATACAAACGGGTTATTGGGATACATTTAATGGTATACATATCAAACAGATGAAGAAGGTGAAAGATATCTATATATACGGAAGATTCATAGAAGAGAAGATATTCAAGATAAGCGTACACAAAGTTCGTAGTACTATTTTACATATTAATTATAGATGTCTGCCTAGCTGATCTCTCCATTTAATCAAATTAATGAATAAATTATATAATAATGCGCTATTTATGCGCTTTCATATTAATATAGTTTTATCTTTCGCGCTACATCTCTTCTGCACCTCTCTTGGATAATTAAAAAAAATTCTCTTTATGCATAATTAGATAGTGCAATTTTGCAATTTTAAACGACTTAAGGATGAATATATCTGTTTGCAAGAGGGAAATATCTTAAGGAATACAACGCAAAAATTGAAACTATTTGAATATGGAAATGCATAAATAGCGCATAAATCCTGTGTATTTAATTTTCCAAATCGATTGTTATTAACACATGAGGGCTGACTGACAGCCTACTCAGCTCTCCCTACAAAAAATTTTTTTTAGCTAAATGATATGAGCGCAAAAAATTTTTTGAGAGTACATAAATAGCAAATCATTAAATTAATTTATTAAGATTTGAGAGCGCCAGCTAGGCAGACGTTAATTATAGTCCTGACATAGAAATATATGATGTTAGAGCCATTGAATATTAGAATTATATCTTGTAAATTCATTTTGTAATTCATAAATTACAAGAGAGGATTTAAAGTTACATTACGTATATAGTTTGAGAAAGATATTCAGTATATAATAAGTATAGATAAAAAATAAGTATAAAAAAAGAACAAATTGAACAGAAAATGATATTGTATTTAATAATATTACTTTAATGATGCTTCAATATATGATTTCTCTTAATTAGTACAAAAACAGAAATATCGTGTACCACTAATGATAGCATTAGTGGTATACATAATAGCGAACGAGACCATGAAGTTACATATAATTGCTCTACAAATAACTCTTAGTTCTCTCTTAGCTCTTCTTTTTATTTATTGTAGTCATAATTCACTAAGTATAAATTATACAAATATTTTTGGAGATATGAAAGATGTAGTAACTTCCTCTGATTCAGAGTAGACCCTACATTATGGAAGTAATCGATGGTTCAACGCGAGGAGTACTAATTGGTCAAAAACGCTATGAAGGTTATTGCATCGATCTGATTAATCTTATCGCAAATTTTCTACGCTTTAAAGGGATAGTATTCCAACTCGTAACTGATGGACCTAGCAATTATGATCCACAAACAAAAACTTGGAATGGTCTAATCAGGAGCATTCTGGATCATGTAAGTAAAACATCCTGTATTTTACAGAGGAAAAAAAATGATTTGTTAAAATATCTAAAAATTTTGCTAGATACAAAATTGAAAAATAATTTCATTGGATTATCAAAATAATTATAGAAGACTTAAGTTGATTTCTGGAATATTAAAATATTTCACAGCATTACTAATCATGCTTGAATTTACTACATATTTAATTACTTTGATAGTCCCGATAAAATTATTTTCAGATTTGCATGTAATTAAATTTTTTAATATTTCTACAAAATTGTATTTTCCGTGCAGGAATTTTTGCTTAAAGAAAAATATGTTCTTAATATATTTCTACCGCCTCATTTTGGCGACAAATTAAAGTAAAAAAATGTTCTTTTAAAAAGAAAGAAAAGATAGAAGAGAAACATGTAAATCAATTGAGATTGTTTTCATATTACAATTAAATTAATAGTAATATTTTTTTAATAATCCACTTTTTATTTAAAAATCAAGTTAATTGTTTATCACTTTCATTTCATTAGTTTTTTCTAGTTATTGTGATAACAAAAATTAAGAGTTTACACTACTTTTCAGTAATTTGTTATTTATGATCTATTTCTTAAAAATTTTAGGAAGCCGATCTTGCTGTATCCGATTTAACGATAACATCTCTCCGCATGACCGTTGTGGATTTTAGTTTGCCTTTCATGACCACAGGTAATACAATATCCCTAGAGAAATAATAAAATATTATAAATTAAACGTGTTAAGATATTGTAATAAATAAATAATTAAATTTTAGACTATATTAATGGCAGTATTCCAATTTTGTTTTAAATTAGGTTACAGCATTGTGTTTAGCAAACCGGAAAAGCAAACGTCATCTTTTTTCCCAGTCTTAGTGCCTTTCTCTAAAGAAGTATGGCTCTCCATGGCTATTGCTTGTCTTGTCGTATCGATAATGTTATTTCTTCAGGCAAGGTAAGATTTTTTTTAAAGACAACATAATTAATAATTTTGAATGTAATAAATATGTCATAAAAATTATCCTTCTTAAATTAATAGAGGAAGGTCGCCAATATCACCGACATATCACTTTGTTTTTAGATAATATTTCTTAAATAAAAATTAAAAATAAAATTTAAAAAATATAAGTATAAACTAAAAAGTATCTTCTATCAAAAATTATAAGCAGTTGTTATAATACTTTGCTATTTTGCTATAATTATTTTTTCGTAAAATAAGCAAAAATGAACTTCTGACAAAATGGACTCCAAAACCGACACACTAAACAGTATGTGCTACGTATTCCTATTCTTTTTCTTTTACAGGAATTATTTGTATAAAGTATCTACAAGTGAATGTATATAAAGATTTTTCGGCTTCACAAGTCGATTTAAAGTCAATTGATTTTTGAGATCGTTTGATTTGATATCTATTAGATTTTTTGTTGATTTTTGCAAGAAGATCGATATTTTATCCATATAGTGTTGATAAAACATCGATCTTATTAATGCAGCGTAAAATGCCGATGTTCGAAAATCAATAGAAAATGGCGATATCAAATCAAACGATCTGAAAAAGCAATCGATATCGATTTGATTTCGACTTATGAACCAAGGTTTCCAGAATTTTTCACTTCGTTATAAAACATTTTTAGTGAATTATAATTTCTTTATGCTGTTCTGCAAACTGCAAATATGTAACGCAATGGTTTTTCAAGGGGTTTTCCATACATGCACGATAACTTCAGCTACAGTACAACTATTTGATACTATAAAGCAACATTGTAAAAATTAAGCTTGTTAAGATTAGATCATTGTCTGTTTTAGACAAGTGTGGCGGTTTATGCTACACTCTAATTTTATATTCAAAATAGTATTATGAAAAAACTAAGAGAGAAAAAATAATATAAAATGATTTATAAAACAGTAAGCATTTAAAACGTAATATTATCAATAGTCACTGTTATTGAAATTATGCAATATGCAAAAGATCGTAAGAATTTTATTTTGCATTTGTAGAATTCGTTTTTAGCTGACTTGATATAGAAACAAGCTACAAACATATGAATTATGAGTTATTTTTGTACTTTAATTAGCTAAATAGATCAGAATTTATTAGTATTAATAAAGTGCAATAGTTAGTTTCTGAGAAATAAGGGGGTATCATTTTAGAAGACTTACATCAGTCAGCGACTTTCCTCTAAATCCGACTAAAATTAGTAAAGTGAAGATAATCGTTAAAAAAAATGTGACTTGCATTTCAAAAATTTAAATTCTTTCTTAAGAATGGCACCTGAGTGGAATAATTCTCATCATCTATACAATACTGATTCCGAAGAACTCAAAAAAAATTTTAACTTCAAAAACTCGTTCTACTTAATTATTGCTTCTTTTGTGCAACGAGGTTCAAACATACTACTCAAGTAAGTTTTAATATGATATCATTACATTATAATTAACAAATATATAAACATATATATTTTAAATATTGAAGAAATTATTTTTTTAACCAAAAGTTAAATGTTTTAAATTATTATAGTATTTTTATATAAATAAAATCACTTTCATTGTAGAATATCATCCCTGCGCATGCTTGCGAGCATATGGTGGTTCTTTACTTTGATCATGTACAGCTTATATACAGCGAATCTAGCCGCCTTTCTCACTGTGGACAAAATAGGTATACCTGTTAAAGGAATTGAGGACCTGGCTAGACAGACAAAAATTAAATATGGTATACTAAAGGGTGGCGCAACAGCATCATTCTTCCAAGTACATTAGCAGTTTATTTATGATCATATTTAGCTCAATACGAAAAACTTACATATATTCGATATTATTCAATTATAGAATTCGACTTATTCAACGTACAAACAAATGTGGAATACAATGGTGAATTCTAAGCCAAGCGTATTCACATCAAGTTATAAGGAAGGTAATTCCAAAATTGAACATACACCTCTAAGTAAGATACATGTAAAAAAATACATGAAAAACTTTCTTTCTTCAAAAAGAGTTATATTATTCGAAAAAACAAATTTTTTCTTTTAAATTCTATTTTTCAAATACATTAACTTTCTGTTACAATATGTTCCAGGCATCAATCGAGTTATCCATGGCAAACGACGATATGCCTTTATCATGGAAAGTGATAGTAGTGAATATCATATAGAGCGCGAATGCGACTTAATCAAAATAGGCAGCGTGATCGAAAGCAGAGAATACGGCATTGCTATGCCACGCAGTAATATTATAACTTCACTACAATACCAATATTTTTCCATTTCTTTATCTTTATATTAGGTGTTGGAATTAATTCGTAGCGTTTTTTAATGAAAGAATGTTATTTATTTCACATGAGCATTAAAAAATACATTAATGAAAGTACTTCCCATCACTTGTAAAACGCTACGAATTAATTCCAACACCTAATATAAACCATTTTTCTTGCATCTCTTCTACAGATTCTCCATACGGAATACATATTAACCGTGCGATCTTGAAGCTTAAAGAGAGAGGTTTACTGCGCAAACTCAAAAAAAAATGGTGGCAAGAAAGAGGAGGAGGTTTGTGCAAAAAAGATGAAATTAATGCAAACACACACGAATTAGGAATGACAGGCCTCGGAGGTGTATTCTTCGTTCTAATATGTGGTTGCAGCGCTTCGTTCTTTATCGCAATTTGCGAATTTCTATGGAATATATTTAAAGTCGCTGTGACAGAAAAGGTAAATCTCTACTTTATCATATTCATTGTTAATTTTGGGATAAATATTATAAATAAAGTAAATTAATTTTGTTTTTTTTTTTAATGAAGAAAAGGAAAGCACTAAAAAATTTAATGTTCGATATAAGATTTCTTTCTTTTTATCTAAATTAAATTGTTTCACAATTTAATTTAGATAAAAAGAAAGAAATTAAATTGTGAAATAAATGCACAATACGAGAATTTTAACTATACGTATTATATGTTAACCTTAAATTTAATAAGTTAGTTACATAGCCATTATTGCGATATATTATAAAGAGAAACTTAATTATCATCTTTTATACAGATCACGCCGTGGGAAGTGCTAGTTGCCGAGTTGAAATTCACTATAAACATCTTCGCAATTAGGAAACCCGTTAAAATTATCAAGAGGAGCAAGAGCAACATAAATTCCAAGGAGGGTGGACTTGACAGAGCTGCATCTACGACTTAATCTATCGTTGCTTTTTTTAAATATATTTTTTTAAATATATTAATGTATTTGATAAATTCGATAAAAACTATGATAAAAACAAGTGTGTATATAACGATCATGAAATGAATTAATTATTGCCAAAAGCAATTAAGTTTAATCACAAATTATTTTAAATAATATAAGGACACCTACATTGAAAGCATTAATTTAGCATTAAATAAATATTCATACATATATAAATAGATAATGTATATAGATGTTTGTAAAGATGTGTATTAAGCAGGGGTTGATGTATACACTAAGCTAAACGACTGTGTGTCAGTCATCTCTGTGTGTATACCTCTCTTCTGTAATATTATTTTAAAATGTTAATCATCTTGTACAACAGTTAACATAAGTGTAGTTCGCCAAGAAGCAAAAATCGGATTTGCTTCATCAACTGTAGATATTTAGACTTCAACCGAGTTGATCAAGAGATCCTTATTAAAAGTATGCATGCTTAAAATTTAACAAAAATAATTTTATGACATTAATAGTCATTTATAAGTAAAGTACGACATAGATTAAAAGTATTTTGTATTGTTAGAATGTATTTAAATAAAACTTTTTTTTTAATAGGTAAAGAATACTTGATATATTTTAAAACTCCTGTATTGTAAGAATTAATTTAAATAAAAAAATAAAAATAAAACTTGATAAATAAAATAATGGTAATTATTTAGAATACCTCCGCCTCACTTCAAATCTTAATAAAAATACACTTATTTGACATGTTTTCATTAAACAAAAGAATCTGCCAAAAAAAAACGTAATGGTCGGCCTCGTAAATTGAGTTTTTAAGAGTTAAAGTTGGAGACTTTAGACTCTAAAATCTCCAACTGTAACTCTTAAACATTCGATTCACGAGGCCAACCGCCGCATTTTTTGCCAGATTTTTATTAAAATTTGAAGTAGGCGAGGTGGGGGGAGGGGGAGAGGATATTCTAAATAATTATCAAATAAGTTTAAAAATGATAATATATTCGAGATACATAAGATTTTGAGATTTGCTTAATAGTATTTTTAAGTAAATTCTAAATACATCTTTCATTTATGTAAACTCTCCGCGTAGTTTACTGTCGGACTTAAAATAATTATAAACTGAAACTAAAACAATAATATCACAACTAAACTGCATGGATTGGATAATGATGCTGCTATCATTATCCATTTAACAATTGTTAAAACTTAAAAAAGCTAAAAAAAAACGAAGAATTAACATATGTTATCCAAAGGGAAAAAAGCAGGGATTACCTACGTATGATAAAAAAATCTGAAATCAATATGTCTTATACATTTAGCTCTCATACGTTAATTATTTAGAGTAGATTGCAGTATACGAAGTTTGACGTACAAATGCACACGCATATTTGACATCGCGTATTATATTATTTATTTATGTCTTAATTAACACGCGCAATATATTTTGAATAAATTCGACACTTTGTGTTTTACATATTATTTATTAAAATGGATCCACTACAATGTCTGTTTTCGCTTGTACTACTTTTATTAGTGACAACATGTATCTTTGGTCAGATGCGACCAATAAAAATCGGTAAAGACTGGTCCTATTTTACAAAATTAATAAATTCTAGCTCATGATGTGAAAACATAGCTCATGGTATGAAAAAATTTAATATTCGAAAGAATCATTTAACGATAAAATTAGCAAAGACCGAAATCTCTATGATAATCTACTCTACTAATACTACGTAAATGTAAAAAATATTTTAAACCAAATCAGTATTTGCGAAGACTTCTTCCAACTACATTGTGAAAAATTGTTTATAAAAAATATTTTTCACAATATTATACAATTTTAAGTTATATAATATTATTCCCCAAATTTTTATTTTCACTTGAATAAAAAACTGTTTAATTACATTAATTAATAGTATTAATTTCAAGCAAAGATATATAATTTAAAGTGCGACTTGTGAATACCAGTTCAAAAAATTTCATAACACAAATATCAATTAGGATTAATATAATATTCCATTTGGCGACTGCCACATACATATTAAATTTAAATAAAAACCGATGTATAAATTATTAATTATCTTCTTTTTTATGACGAATTACGTTATTATGTCATTAAAAAACGCTAAGTAACAATGCTATGTCGATTCATAATTAAAACAAAACGGAAAAAATAACTTCACCGTAAAAAAATATATCAATAAAAAGAAAAGTAAAACATAATTATAATAAAATAACTTTTATTAAAAGTTCATTAGTAATGAACTTGCGCGTGATAATATCAGTATGTATTCATAAGTCACGCAAGAAAAATATTTTTAACGATGTTCACGTGCGCTTGATACTTAATGTTGATCCGATAAGCATAATGTAAATTGTAAACTCATGCATAGTTTATTAGCATTATTAAAGTAAATACACGTAATATCTATTTATAGATATTTAATTAGAAAATTAATTATATATTATATAAATCTTTCTACTTTACTAATAATCATCACTAACAAATTTATTGATTAATAATTCAGCACATTTATTTATATTTATTCTTCACAAAAAATGTATACACAATATCAATTTTTTAATTAATTCTTCATTTGTTAATACATTTTTAGGAGCAATTTTTCACAAAGGCGAAGAACATCTTCAATCTGTATTCTCAAGAGCAATCTCTGACACAAAAAATGAAAACCATGAACTCGTATTTGAACTTGTAGCAGTCATTAAGTACATCGAAGGCAATACCGACAGCTTTATGACTGCTATAGCTGGTAAGTACGTGGTGAAATCAATTATTCCGAGTGATTATTCCATAATGTTGATATGTATTTTTTATAATAATTATAAATCTATTTTCCTACATAACATTCTAATCCCAAGAATAAAAATTTAAAAACTTTTTAAACTATCTTTACAATTATATACAATGTACACATTATAATGTTATCAAATTAAAATGTGAAAATTTGGCATCCCCAACTTTTGAAAAAATTAACTTTCTATAGTATAGAAACGTGCAAACGAAAATTCAAAATGTGCATACCTGTGTAAACGATGAGCAATCGAATAATATATACAGTTAATTTTTTCAAAAGTTGGGACCCAACTTCAGACGGGTATCAAATTAAGATATGTTTATATTAGGTCATTTAAAAAGTATCCGCGGTTTTTTATTCAATTTTTGAATGAAAAACCGCGAATACTTTTTAAATGACCCAATAATTGAAAAAGGGATCAAGAGAATCATTCTTTTTTATAGAAATACGGGAGGAAATTGAAAAAAAAAACAGATTTATGAAGAAGTATTTACATTACATAATTATTCTAATTTTAAACATATTTGTTCATTTACTTATTCGACATTGTATTATTTTCTAATAGCTTGTGAACTTCTTGAGGAAGGGGTGGCAGCCATTTTCGGGCCTTCAAGTCGGTATACTAGTGGCATAGTTGCGAGTATTGCTGCGAGATTTGATATTCCGCATATAGAGTATGTTTGGCGAGAAAACAAAGGAAAGGAAAACCAGAAGAAAGCTTCATCATTAATGACCATAAACATATTCCCTGCCAGTGAACAAGTTAGCCAGGTTATTCGCAATTTAAAAGAATTATTTTGTATCTAAATATGTAGGTTTAAGATATGTACACTATGATAACTTGGACATGTTTAACAGTGCAAGTAATAATTCAATTTACTTTTATAGTGATTTTTAAATGCATATTTAGTTAATTAATCAAAGTTAAATCGTTTTTATAACACGTTAAACATTCGAAATACAATTATTGTATTTGTAATATATTTTTAATCAACAAAACTGTACAGGCTATCGTCGATGTTATTAAGTCAATGAACTGGCGAAAATTCGCAGCGATTTATGAAACTGATGAAGGACTGTCACGTCTTCAGAAAACTTTGATTCTAAAAGGAGACAAGAACGATCCGATTATACATACAGCATGGAAGCTTGACGAAGGACCGGATTATCGCTCAATGCTTAAACAGATACGCTATTTGCCAGTGCGCAATATAATTATCGATGTTAAGCCGGAAAATATCATGAAAGTGCTCCATCAGACAAAGGAAGTCGGTTTACTATCAGATTATTCCGACTTCGTAATTACATATTTGGTACTGTATATTAAATATACTGTATATAAAATAACATGATACTTTCAAAAGCGTATTTCATGTATAATAAAGCCAAAAAGATTGATGATTAAAAAAATTACAAGTTAAACTTTTAAAAATTATATTTAAGGAAAATTAAATAGAATAGGTAAAGCATAATATTATACGTTATTCTTGTGTCTCCGATTGCTAGAAAATAAGTTTTTGAAATAATCATTCCGTTAAATCGTAGGATTCATCCATACTACCTATTGTCGAGATGATAAATGATACCTCTAATATCATTGGACTAAGCATAAGAGAGAATAATGACATAAAAGGAATTGATTCGGTATTTATTCAACAATCCTTCTTAATTATCAACAATAATATAATATATGTCCGACAACCATATCGGCACGCAATTATCATTTCTGAAATTAATTCATTTATATGAATATATATAATAGTTCATTTATATGAATATATATAACATTTCAACATTCAGACTGTAGTGGCGCTTCATATTTAAAGTAATAATATAATATATTATAATGTAATCTCAAAAGTTTATATTTATATGTACAATTCTTAAATATTCGCGTCAAACCAGATCTAGACCAAACAAATTAATGAGTACGAAGAAATCGCTCCAATGATTACAAACAGTCAGTTCCATTTAATAGTGAAAAATTATAACAAAAGAAGAATATTAATTATTATAAATATCAACGAGTAAACGTCTACGAAAGACTAAAATATTTCTGCAATTTTTTGTTGCGCAAGCACTTAAAAAAAAAAGCACTTATTTATTCTAACAGATTAACGTATATTTATTGTTTTCACATTTCAGATTAAATTTAGTGACATAGATTTTTTTATATTAAAAATAAAAAATTACATAAAATTAAGTAACTATTTGAACTAATTTACGATTTTGATATAGCTAGATTCAGCGGTCCTCTATGACGCAGTATTTTTGTTGCATACAGCATTAAAGACTCTAAATACAAGAAATATTGAAAATGAAGTAGATATATTCATTGATCCTATACCACTTTCTTGTACTAATACTAGAAAGTATCAAGTAGGACCTAATATTACTAATATTATGCGCGAGGTAAGGAGGAAGTCTTTCTTTATCATTTCTTATACATATAGTAAAAAAATGACAATTTGATTTTAAACCTTAAAATATATTATGAAAAAAGTAATTTAATTAATAATGACTCTCTTATATTTTTATATACACTTGCTTAAAAAAATAAATTCTTCTCTAATAAGTTAATTTAATGCCACATTAAATCTATTAAATCTATTAAATATGGTTGACATAATAACGACGCCAATGTTTACTATCTGAGCACAACTGTATTCAAATAATGAACATTCACGAAAAAAATATTGAAAAATTAATACAAAATCTTTATTATTTACTTTTAACGCAAGAAAATAAATTTTTACTTTCAACGTTCGAAATTTTTTCTTACACAGATATCAAAAAGAGGAAAAATAACAGGCATTATGTACATTGATGAAAACGGTCGTCGACAAGATTTTAATGTAACCATCTTGAACTTTCGACAATTGAATATAAAAGAAACGAGTTATTGGGACTGTAATGGTCTACATGAAACACCGCTTACGTTGGAGGAAGATATATATTTATACAAAAGATTCACAGAAGACAGGATATTGAAGATTAGCGTAACCATAGTTCGTAGTACTATTTAATATATTAATTATAATCCTGACATTAATATTATATGTTGTTAGGCATTAAATATTAGAATTATATCTTATAAATTTATAAATAAATAAAAGAGCTAAGAGAGAGGATACTTGTAGAACAATTATGTGTAACTTGATTGATTTAACTCGTCCGTTAGTATCATTAATTTAGAGAAAGATATTATTTATAATAAGTACAGAAAAGAGCAGATTGAACGGAAAAAAATATCGTGTTTAATAATATTTTAAACTTTACTGCTTCAATACAGATGAGTATGATTTCTCTTAGTTGGTATAAAAACAGAAATATCGTATATCACTAAAAAAAAAAAGTAATAACAAACGAATTAAATCAAGTTATTATTTAATCTAAGTTATAATTATTCTACGAGTATCCTTTTTCTTAGATTTTTCTTTTATTTACTGTAGTCAGAATTCAATAAGTATAAATTATACAAATATTTTTGATTCAGAATGCACCCTATATTATGGAAGTGATCGATGGTTCAACGCGAGGAGTACTAATTGGTCAAAAACGCTATGAAGGTTATTGCATCGATCTGATTAATCTTATCGCAAAATTTCTAGGTTTTAAAAACGTAGTATTCCAACTCGTAACTGATGGATATGGCAGTTATAATTCAGAAACGAGGAAATGGAATGGTCTAATCAGAAGCATTCTGGATTATGTGAGTAAAATCTGATTTTACAGAGAGAAAAAAAATGATTTGTTAAAATATCTAAAAATTTTGCTAGATATAAAACTTAAAAATAATTTCGTTAGATTATCAAAATAATTATGTAGAATTATGTAGAAGGCTTAAGTTAATTTCTAGAATATTAAAACATTTCACAGCATTGCTAATCATGCTTGAGTTTACTGCATATCTAATTACTTTGACGGTCCCGTTAAAATTATTTGCAGATTTGCATCTAACCAAATTTTTGTGTATTTAAACAAAATTGTACTTTCCATGTAGGAACTTTTGCTTAAAGAAAGATATGTTCTTAATAAATTTCTATCGCCTCATTTTGGCGATAAATTAAAGTAAAAAAAAAATTTTCTTTTATGAAAAGACAGAACAGAAAACATGTAAATCAATTGAGTTTGTTTTCGTATTACAATTAAATTAAATATTAATAGCATTTTTTAAAATATAATAATCCACCTTTTATTTAAAATCCACGTTAATTGTTCATTATCTTCATTTTACAAGATTTCCTTACTTATTGTGATAACAAAAAATAATTCAAGTTTGCACTACTTTTCATTAAGTAATCTATTATTTATGATCTAATTCTTAAAAATTTCAGGAAGCCGATTTTGCTATATCCGATTTAACGATAACATCCCATCGCGCGAGCGTTGTGGATTTCAGTTTACCTTTCATGATCTCGGGTAAATATTAATAAAATTATACATTAACTATTAAAAAGAATAATATACAAAAAAATATTACAATATTGTTATAACTCGTTGTATTCATTACTCATAAATTTTAAAGAACCCAAAAATAAATTAAACATGTTAAAATATTGTAAAAATAAATAAATAATTAAATTTTAGACTATATTAATGACAGTATTCCAACTTTATTTTAAATTAGGTTTCAGCATAATAATTAGCAAACCGGAAAAGCAAACGTCATCTTTTTTCCCAGTCTTAATACCTTTCTCTATAGAAGTATGGCTCTCCATGGCTATTGCTTGTCTCGTCGTATCAATAATGTTATTTCTTCAGGCAAGGTAAGATTTTTAGAGACAAAATACTTAATAATTTTGAATGTAATAAATATGTCATAAAAATTATCCTTCTCAAATTAATATCTTCTAAAATTAGTAGAGTGAAGATAACCGTTAAAAAATGTGTCTTGTATTTCATAAATTTAAATTTTTTCTCAAGAATGGCACCTGATAAGTCGAACAATCCGCATCTATGCAATGCTGATCCTGAAAAAAATAATTTCAAAAATTCGTTCTACTTGACTATTGGTTGTTTTATGCAACAAGGTTCAAACATACGGCCCAAGTAAGCTTTAATATAAAATTATTATAATTAATAAACATACATTTTTAATTTTGAAGAAATTATTTTTTTAAGCAAAAGTTAAATGTTTTAAACTATTGTAGTATTTACACATAAATAAAATCACTTTCATTATAGAGCATCATCTCTGCGCATACTTGCAAGTATGTGGTGGTTCTTTACTTTAATTATGTACAGCTCGTATACAGCGAATCAAGCTGCCTTTCTCAATATGGACAAAATATCTGTTAAAGGAATTGAGGATTTGCCCAAACAGACAAAAATTAAATATGGTGCACTAAAGAATGGCGCAACAGCAACATTCTTCCAAGTATATTAGCAGCTAATTATTTATGATCATATTTAGCTCAATATATGAAAATAACTTACAGATATGATTCGATATTATTCAATTGTAGAAGTCGACTTACTTAACGTACAAACAAATATGGATTGCAATGGAGAATTCTAAACCAAGCGTATTCACATCAAGTTATGAAGAAGGTGCCCAATTCCAAAATCGAACATGCACCACCTATGTGAAAAATACATAATAAAACCTTTTTTTTAAAAAGGATTATATTATTCGAAAAAACAAATTTTTTCTTTTGAATTCTGTTTTTCAAATACTCATATTAATTTTACAATACATTCCAGGTATCAACCGAGTTATCCATGGCGAAGGACGATACGCCTTTCTCATGGAAAGTGGCGCTATTGAATATATTACGGAGCGCGAATGCAATCTAATTAAAATAGGCAGCGTATTCGAAAACAGAGGCTATGGCATTGCTATGCCACGTAGTAATATTATAACTTCACTATAATACTAATATTTTTCCATTTCTTTATCTTTATTTAAATCATTTCTCTTGCACCTCTTCTGTAGATTCTGTATACAGAGAAGTTATTGACATTGCAATCCAGGCGTTTAAAGAGGTAGGAGAGCTGGAGACACTCAAAAAAAGGTGGTGGCAAGAAAGAGGAGGAGGTTTGTGCAAAAAAGATGAAATGGAAAATAATGAAAGCACGAATCAATTAGGGATAGCAAGCCTCAAAGGTGTATTCTTCGTTCTAATGTGTGGTTGTAGCGTTTCGTTCTTTATCGCAATTTGCGAATTTCTGTGGAATGTACGTAAAATCGCTGTGACAGAGAAGGTAAATCTTCATTTTATCGTGTTTATTATTAATTTTGGAATAAATACTATAAAAATAAAGTAAATTAATTTTCATTCTGTTAATGACGAAAAGTACTCAAAAATTAATGTTCAATATAAAATTTTTTTTTATGATAAATTAAATTGTGAAACAATGCAATATGCAAATTTTAACTATATATATTATATGCCAACTTTAAATTTAATAAGTTAGTTACTGCATCGCCATCATTGCAATATACTAAAGAGGAATTTAATTATCATCTTTCGTACAGATGACGCCGTGGGAAGTGCTAGTTGCCGAGTTAAAATTCGCCGTAAACGTCTTCGCAATTACGAAACCCGTTAAAATTGCCAAAAGCAGTAACATAAGTTCTAGGAAAGGTGGACTTGACAGCACTTCATCTACGGCTTGATCTATTTGTTGATTCTTTCTTATGTATTGATGTGTTCGGTAAATTCGATGAAAACCATAATAGAAACAAATGTATGTGATGATCATGAAATTAATTAGTTATTGCCAAGGGAATTTAAGTTTAACCACGAATTTTTTTTAATAATAAAAGAACACTTACGTTGAAAGCACTAATTCATTAAACAAATATTTATATGTACTTATATAAATAGGTAATGTATAGATGTTTGTAAAGATGTTTGTAAAGATGTGTACAAATCGATGTATTTACTAATAAACTGAACGACTGTATGAGTCAGTGATCTCTGTGTGTATATCTCTCTTCTGTAATACTATTTAAAAATGTTAATGATCATCTTGTACATATTAATATAAGTACAATTAATATAAGTATAATTCGCCAACAAGCAAAAATCGGATTTGTTTCATCTTTGTAGATATTTCAGACTTCAACCGAGTCGATCAAGAGATCCTTGTTAAAAGCATGCTTAAGATTTAACAAAAATAATTATATGACGTTAATTTTTATTTCTATAAATAAAGCATGATACAGATTAAAAGTAGTTCTGTACTGTTAGCATGTATTTAAATAAAATTTTTTTAGTATGAAGCGAAGGTTAAATGATTTTCTGATTTATTAACCTTGAATAACTTAGTTTAGAAAATATGTTTTAATTTATACTGTCATATGTATATGTCATAATAATAATAATGGCAAAAAAGATTAATCTTTTTCCTATACGTAATGCAAGGAAAAACTTCATATTACTCATTTTGACATTATAATCCAATATGATCGCGATAAAAAACTACAAGCACTAATTACTTAATCTTTTTATGTGTTTTTTAAAGTAATTAGTAATCTTTATATTGTTATCCTTTATTAATTTACTACTTCATTTGTTCATTAATTTTTTGCTACATGGTTAAACATGTATTCTTTCTAATTTTATTTTGAAAATAAGAGATATTTTAATCACAAATTGGTAAATTTGTAATAAAGAAAATTAGTTCAAATAATAAAAACGGAAATACAAAATGTAGATTGTTTGTATTTATTACAATTTTAACTTTCTCCCTATTTGTTAGATTACAACAAAAATCCCTACTAGTTTATTTAATTAACAAAATATGAATTTATAATTTTAATAACGAATTTATTTGAATATATTTTTTAAACATAGAAGTATAGAAATATAAAATATCGTTATTAAATATTACTGGAAGAATGTGTGCGACGTAATCACTACGACATGGTTCTCAAAACGAACGACGCGAAGCCAAGCGTATATAAGATGTGGTTCGGATCCAAATTTAGATCAGTGTATAGTAGGACAACATCGAAGTCGAAACTTAGTGAATACAGTTTTCTGATTCATTGGTTTTCCCTCTTCTATTTCATTGAAATTTCGCAAAGTTTCTATCAAAAGTTCTTTGCTTCAGATAAAAATCTTAATTGATTTCAATTGAAAAAGTATTGAATTCAAACAATGAAGAAAATTCAATTATTGACGCGCGAACATTAAGGTAAAACTAGTAAAATTATTAATATATACATATAAGGTAATATAGTTCTACTGTGATATAAAAATCGATATAACTCGATTGATTTCAAAATAGTTTAAACCGTTAAAATTTATAATCATAATATAAAGAACTTTACTTAGAAATTATTACTCATATATATTCTCCAAATGATTTAGATTGAAAGTAAAGTTATTAAATAACAAATATTTTATTTAAGAAAAAAAATTGAATTTTAATTAAAATTTACATTCATTATATATATTTTATTATATATTATTGATATCGATAAAATGTAGTGTTATGTACATAGAAAAGGAGAAATCATTAATAATTGCAAAGTTATTCATATCTTGTAAGTAAATAAATTTACTATTGTGTTTTACAGATTTTTTACTAAAATGGACTTACGACAGTATTTGTTTCCGACATTAATTTTATTAGTACTGGCAACATGCATTCATGGCCTGCCGCGACAAATAAAAATCGGTAAGCAGTGATCATTCTAGAAAACTAATAAACTTCAGAAAGCATACCGTTTATGTATTTCGCAGATAAAAAAAATCATTTATCAATAGAACTGGCAAACACTAAAACCTCTATGATAATCTACTTTACAGTAATTTAACATAATATTCTATTTGACGACCGCATATATGTATATATTTAAATTAAACAATAATTGATTCTATAAATTATTTATTGTTTTCTTCTTTTTTATGACAAATCGTCATTAAAAGAATGCCATATAACACATGAATTCATAATCAAAATAAAATAAAAAAGATATATTTAACATAAAAAATTTTCTTAATACGATAGAAGTAAAAATATATTTATCAATTTTAGAGTCAAATATATTTATAAGTTTTGGAGTCAAAATTCAGTAATGATAAATTTTGCTCGTAATAATACCAATGTATGTTCACAAAGTCACGCAAGAGAAATATTTTTAACGGTGTTCACGTGCGTTTGTTACTTAATAATATTAATCCGACATGCATAACGTAAATTGCGAATTCGTGCGTCATCAACTAATATTTAGCAATTTATTCAAGTAAATATATTATAGGTGTATGTAATAATTATTTGGAGGTATTAGAAAATTAATTGTGATTATATATTAATCTTTTTACTTCAGTTAATCATTACGATTATGTCTCATTACAATTACGTGCTAAATTTTATTTTATTCTTTAAAAAAATATATTATAATAATTTATTTGAAAAGCACTTCATTTTTATTTTTAAAATTTCTTACGTTAAAGTTTTTCTGATATACAATATATAATCATGCACATATCCTCAATCTTTGTATTATATTTCACACATTAATATTGATCTAACAAGGTCAGACTTTTTATAAATTTTTTAATTATTAATATATTTTTTAGGAGCAATCTTTCACAAAGGCGATGAAAATCTTAACTCTACATTCACAAAAGCAATCTTTGATACAAAGTATGAAAATCTTGCACCCGCATTCGAGCTTATCCCCATCATTAAGTTCATCGATGCTAATACTGATAGTTTTAAAACTGGTGCAATTGGTAAGCACCTGGTGAAACCAATTACTCCGAATGACAATTATTCCATAATATTAACAAGTTTGTTTTCTAATAATTATAAATATACAATATTTTTTCATAATGTATTTATTCTAATTCAATCCCAAGATTCGAATAGAAAATTAAAAATGTTGGAATAGCTGTATAGTTATACATATAATCATACATATGTATGTATATATATATATATATATATATATATACACACACACACACATAAAATGTTATCAAATAATCGCATTCAATAAAAGCATGATAATAATTTAAAACGGGACGAGAAAATTATTTTTTTACGGTCACAAAAATTCGTGTGTAAATGGAAAAATAAAATGAGTTTACAAAGAAGGCTTTACATTGCATTTTTATTCTATAATAATTTTAGACATATTGTTAATTTATTATGTACTTAATGTATTACTTTTCATATATATAGCTTGCGAACTTCTTGAGGAAGGAGTAGCAGCTATTTTTGGACCTCCAAGCAGGCATACTCGTAGTATAGTTGCGAGCATTGCAGCTCGATTTGATGTACCGCACATCGAATATGTTTGGCGGGAAAACGAAGAATTAATAGAGAAAAATAAAAGAAAGAAGATTCTATCGTCAAAAATGACCATAAATGTATTCCCTACCAGTGAGAAAGTCAGCCAGGTCAGTCGCTATATGTTATAAAGAAGTGCTTCGCAATTGAAAATCGACTTTGTTTTATACGCTATAATAAATCGCAAAATTTGAAAAAGATGTTTAACAGTGCAAGTAATAATTCAATTTATTGGTTTACGCAATGATTTTTGGGTTATCACATCTAATTAATTAAATCGAACGTAGTTTACAATTCTTAGATGCAAGTTAAATCGTAATTTTGATATCATTGAATTTAAAATACAATTATTTATTATTTTTGTAACGTATTATTAATATAATCGACAAAAACTGTAGGCAATCGCTGATGTTATCGCATCAATGGAATGGCGAAATTTCGCAGCGATTTACGAAAATGATGAGGGACTATCGCGCCTTCAGAAGACTTTGACTCTAAAAGGAAACAAAGAAAATCCGATTGTACACACAGTACGACAGTTGAACGAAGGGTCAGATTATCGTACGATACTTAAAGAGATACGCTCTTTATCGGTGTGCAATATAATTATTGACGTTAAGCCGGAAAATATCATGAAAGTGCTCAACCAAGCAAAGGAAGTCAGATTACTAGCAGATTATTGCAATTTTGTGTTAACATATATGGTATAGTATATTTTATTTATATTTATATTTATTTACGTAACAATTATCATATTACTTAACAAAATGTCATATTACTTTCAATGTCGTTTTTTACGTATTTTAGTGAAAAGATTAGTGTTTAAAAAAAACTATGAATTAAACTATTAAAATTAAATATGTAAGAAAAATTAAATAGAATATAGATAAAATATGTATAATATTGTATATTATTTTTATGCATTTCCCATTGCTAGAAAATAGCGCATAAACAGTTTTTGAAATAATCTTTCTATTGAAATTGTAGGATTCATCCAAGCTATCTATCCTTGAAATGCGAAATGGTACCGTCAATATCACTGGACTGAGCATAAGAGAGAATGATGATATAGAAGAAATTGATTGGGTATTTATTCAAGAATCTCAATTTTTTTATCAGTAATGAGTATAATGCGATATATTAATTATAATATAATCTCAAAAGTTTATACAATAAGATTGGAAATAAGACCGTTTATGTTAAATACATTACTTTAAATACGAAACGCCACTACGGTCTAAATGTTAAGATGTTGAATTATTATATATATTCATATAAATGAATTAATTTCAGAAATGATAATTGCGTGCCGATATGGTTGTCGGATTTTCGCAATCAATCTGAAATATTAATAATCCTCCCAAATTTCCCAAATTTAATCAAAAGTTTATATTCTCTTATTGAGTTTAAGATAAAATATTTAAAATAGAATATTAATATGGAATTATATAAGTTGATTGTTCGCGACTTTATTTAGCTGGATTCAGCAGTTCTCTATGACGCAGTATTTTTATTACAAAAAGCATTAGAGACTTTAAATGCAAGAAATGATAATGAAGAAGATATTGATCCTATATCACTTTTTTGTACTAATAGTACTACAAAGTATCAAGTAGGACCTAATATTATCAGCATTATGCGAGAGGTAAGAGATTTTCCTTTATTATTAAATTTTTTACATACTAAAAAAATAGTAATTTGATTTTAAATCTTAGGATATATGTATAACGAAAGAATATATTAGGGAAAGTTTCCGCACATTTTTAACAACTTTCCTTTATTAAAATAAAATAAATAATACAATGTATGTTAGTCAAAATATTTGCTACTGTTTTCTATCATCTTTACCCATCCTTTTCAGGCAGTATACGAACACCACGTTGAAAATGCGCGAAACAATTTAAGTGATCTCATATTTAATAATGATAAATTTTTATCAATTATTTTAAAAATAATAAAATTAATATTTTATTATTTTTATAGTTGTCAAAAATGGGAAAGATAACGGGCGTTATGAACATTGACGAATACGGTCGTCGACAAGATTTTAATGTAAAAATTTTAAATTTTCGACCATCGGGTATAGTACAAATGGGTTTCTGGGAACCGTTGACCGGTGTAAATGTCATACGAACTGAAAAGGAGCAAGACAGCTATTTATACAAATCCATAGAAGAAAAGATATTCAAGATTAGCGTAATGGAAGTTTGTATTCCTACATTAATTAATCACATTATATATAATTTTTCTATAAATATTCTCTCTCTTCTCCTTCCCTTCCTCCCTCCCTCCCTTATTCTTTCTCTCATTCTTTCTTTCTTTACTCTAAATTATATAAATATTTTTGGAGATACGAAACATGTAATAATTCTTCCGATTCAGAGTGAACCCTACATAATGAAAGTAACGAATGGAACGCACGGAGAAATGATCAATCAAATACGCTACGAAGGTTATTGCATCGATCTGATTAATGCAATCGCAGACTTTTTACATTTCAAAGGAATAGTGTTTGAAATTGTAACTACTAAGCAGGGTAAATATGATCCAGTAACAAAGACTTGGGATGGTCTAATCAGGCGCATTGTGGATCGTGTAAGTAAAATGTTTCAAAGGAAGTTTATTTTAAATTTATTTCTATTACCTTATTTTATCGATTTTAAACAAAAAAAAATTCTTTTACAAAAAAACAATTTCTTTTATGAAACAAAAACGTATGGCAAATCATCTGTTTTAATATTTTACAAATCTTTTCATATTTACAAATTAATTGTAGTATTTTCGAAAACGCAAATAATCCATCTTTTATCTAAAATCCACATCAATTGTTCAACCGTCGTGAAGTTAGTCTCCAACATAAAAAAAAAATAAAGTTTCTTCGATTGCTCATCGTTTGCACATGTTTGCACGTTTTGAATTTTCGTTTGCACACTTCTAATTAAAAGTTTTTTAAAAAACAATTTTGGGGGAAGGCTAACTTCGCACTAGCCCCCCAACTTCGAGCAAATTGGATCGAAAAGGCCTCAAACGATAGATTTTCGTTTGCACATTTCGAAACAATTCGATTTTTTATTTGCATACCTTTAGTTAAAAAGTCTAACCTCCAACACTCATTTGTTAATAACTTTTTAAGGTATGCAAACGAAAAATCGACTGTTTCGAAATGTGCAAACAAAATCCTATCAATTCATGCCATTTTGAGCACAGTAATTGCAATTTAAACCTATCTTCTACAGTCGATCTCTTTCAAAACTTTAATTGCTTTTAAAGTACAACTACTACAAGTGTGCAAACAAAAAATCGAATTGTTTTGGAATGTGCAAACGATCGATTGAAATCTTTTCGATCCCATTTGTTCGAAGTTAAGAGGCTAGTGTGAAGGTAGCCTCCCCAAAATTATTTTTTAAATAATTTTTTAACTAGAAGTGTGCAAACGAAAATTCAAAATGTGCAAACGATGTGTAAACGATGTGTAAACGATGAACAATCGAATAAGCTAAAGAAACTTCATTTTTTTAATGTTGGAGGGCTAACTTCATGGTAATTATTCATCACTCTCAATTTTGTAGAATTTCCCTATTTATCGTGATAAGCAAAAGTATGCCTTACTTTTCTATAAACTGTTATTTATCATTCATTTCTAAATGTTATTATATATAGGAAGCCGATCTTGCGATATGTGATTTAACCATAACACATGAAAGGAAGTCTGCTGTAGATTTTAGTCATCCATTTATGAATCTCGGTAAATATATATATTATTAAATATATTATTAAATATATTATTAAAAAGAATGAAAAATATAAAAATAGTCTAGTAATCGTTATAATTTGTTATTTATTAGAAATTCTAGAAGAGATTTAAAAAAGGAGTTTAAAATTCTTGTAAAAGCAATAATACAATAATTACATTTTATTATATATTAATTTATGACAGAGTATATTCCAACTTTATTTTTAGGTATAAGCATTATATTTAGCAAACCAGAAGAGAAGACACCAGACTTTTTTTCCTTTTTATTACCATTAAGTACAGAAGTATGGTTCTACATGGCTACTGCTTTTCTCGGTGTATCAATAATAATATTTCTTCAAGCAAGGTAAAATTTTTCAGAGATAAAATATTATAATTTTGATAAAAAATGTAATAAGAATTATTCTTCTCAAATTAATTATTACTTTACTAAAATTAGTAAAGTAAAGATAAAAAAAATGTGACTTGCGTTTCATAAATTTAAATTGTTTCTCAAGAATGGCACCAGATGAGTGGGACAATCCGCATCCATGCAATGCCGATCCTGAAGAACTCGAAAACAACTTCAATATAAAAAATTCCTTTTGGTTGACTATTGGTTCTCTTATGCAGCAAGGTTCAGATATTTTACCCAAGTAAGTCCTAATATGATATTTATCATTGTATTATAATTAATAAACATATTTTAAACATTAAAAAAATTATTTTTTAAATCAATATCTTCTGTAGATCAGGGAGACAACATTAATATCTCCACTGGTGTTCCGTATCTCATTAATTAATTACAGTACAATTGATGATTTCACTATCACTCTCACTAACGTTTATCGAGTTATATTACTTGACGCTTTCACTTTCGCGCTCTTTAACGTTTTCTATTTGACGCATTGTAACGAATTAATGTCGCCCAGGGGAACTCGAGTCCCCGGATTGCTCTGAGATTTCGCCTGGGGGTGCCTTTTGACTCACCCTGAGTCTTCTCGATAGATAAACTTGTGGTCAAACTATTTGTGATGAGGGATGACGCCTAAGGGAAACCCTGAGTCGCAATCGCGCACGCACACACGTAAGATAGACTCGTAATAATATTTGGACAATATTATGCAGTTTGGACAGATACTGTTCGTACCCGATTCGCATTCTGGCTTGATCAACGGTCGAATGAATTTAGCGCTGCCAGGCCCTCGATTTCTTTCCGGATTGGTTCTCCCAAATCGTGGAGATCACGTGTTAGCGGCAACGCCGTTTCGGGCAATAGCAAGCGCATTAAGAATCACAAACATCGACAATCGTTTTTAACTGTACCGCTACCGCGATTTCTTCCTACCAAGATCCAGATGCTCCTGTCGTCCGTAAACGTGTAATCGTGTGATCCTTTGATTTTATCCGACCACGATTTCTCGAGCTCTACGCAACAATCAAGGATTAATTATTTTCCTATTTATGCTTTGTGTCATTTTCAGTTAGTGTATGATTCCTAATAATTATTCCAACTAGTATGATTTTAATTGTATTTTACATATTTCAAATATGCTGTATATAAATATTTCACGAGTGACTTGATCTATATTGAATGTCTATTTTAATGTTGTTGTGATTATTATCAGATAATTAGATTTGGTACTCTTTCGATGTTTTAAACTATTATAATATACAGGATGAGTCATTTTAATCACCCCAAATATTTCCGTTCCCTTGCATTTTACAAGAAAATGTTTCAGACAAAAGTTGTATGGTTTCGAGGGACATAAGATGGTACCATTGGTTTAACTATGAGTGATGTTGTCAAGGTCAGACGAAGGTCACATTAAATTTTTTAAATGGAACCCTCCATTTTTTATTATGCATTCTTGTAGCTTATCTTGAGAGCTTTTCAAAACACTATAATAAAATTTTTCATTAAGTATTTGTCGAATTTTGAGAAAACAAAATCACTTTCATTACAGAGCACCGTCTCTACGCATGCTTGCAAGCATGTGGTGGTTCTTCACATTGATCATGATCAGCTCGTATACAGCGAATCTAGCTGCCTTTCTCACAGTGGACAAGATGGAGACGCCTATTAAAGGTGTTGAAGATTTAGCTAAGCAGACGAAAATTCAATATGGCGCACAACAGGGTGGATCCACGTCAACCTTTTTTAAAGTTTGTCAGCAGCTTGTTTAGCGACATATTTAGCTAAATATAAAAATAACATGCAAATATGATTTAATAATCAATTACAGAATTCAAACTATTCAACGTATAAAAGAATGTGGGCTGCAATGACAGACGCTAGGCCAAGTGTATTCACATCAAGTAATAGAGATGGTGAGCAATTCCAAGATCAAATTTGAATACAAAGAATCTTCTTTTTTTTTAAAGAGTTACATTATTCGAAGAAACAAAATTTTTTTCTCTTAAATTCGATTTCTTATAATGTTTTCTCTTGGCTGCACTATCGCCCACTAATGCAACACTCGGACAGTGTACTGTGTTTCCATGGCTAGTGATAAGCGAACTCATTCGGTGTACCGTGTTTCCGTGGCTACGGTGTAGTGCAAATTTTATGAATGGGATTTTGCTATATCATCTCAAAGGGTAGAGAGCCAGTGTGACATTTAAAATTTAGAAATCAAGGGAATAAGGTTTTAGCGCAATAATGATGTTAGTATACACCATAGTGTGCACCACTCTGGTGTAGTGTAGCTGAGTGTAGCGCTTACACACCGCAATTGGTGCGGTGCGAGGGTCCAGTGTATCCCAAGAGAAAACGCTATTAGACCCTTTATTATATACGTTCCAGGTATCGAACGAGTTGTCAAGGCTAAAGGACAATATGCCTATTTCATGGAATCCAGTAGCATTGACTACCAATTGGAGCGGAACTGCGAAATAATTAAAATCGGGGGCTTAATTGACAATAAGGGCTATGGCATAGCTATGCCGCGCAGTAATATTATAACTTCTTTGAATACATCCAATATTTTTTCCATTTTATTATCGTTATATAAATCATTTTTCTTGCATCTCTTCCATAGATTCTGCATATAGAATACCGATTAATCGTGCGATCTTAAAGCTAGGAGAGCGAGGTATATTGTCAGAAATAAAAAAAAAATGGTGGCAAGAAAGAGGAGGAGGTTTATGCACAAAGGATGAAGAGGAAAAGAGTGAAAACACAAGCGAATTAGGATTGGCAAACGTCGGAGGTGTATTCTTCGTTCTAATGTGTGGGTTATGTGGTTCATTCTTTATCGCAATTTGCGAATTTTTGTGGAATATACGTAAAGTCGCTGTGACAGAAAAGGTAAATTTTTATTTTTTCATGTTCATTATTAAGTTTAAAATAAATAAAGTTAATTTTGTTCCTTTTAATAAAGAAAATTATTCAAAATTTTAATGTATAATATAAAATTTTTACTTCTTTTTATAAGTTAAATTGTGAAATAAATTTAATTATCATGTTTCGTACAGATTACGCCGTGGGAAGCACTAGTTGCCGAATTAAAATTCGCTGTGAACATTTTTGAAGTAACAAAACCCGTTAAAATTTCCAAGAGCAACAACAACAGCGCAAGCTCCATGGGTGGACTTGGCAGAGCTGCATCCACGGCTCGATCTATCGTTGGCTCTTTCTTACGTCTTGATATAGTCGATAAAATCGATAAAGATCTCAGCACGAGTAACCGCACTAACGATCGTAAAATTAATTGATCATTGCTAAAAGCACTGAAGTAAACTACGAATTGTTTTAAATAATACACGATTTAAAATTATACAAAATCATTTACTTTGAAATTATGTATCTAATCGGTAATAAATACATATCTACAGATTAAATGAGTTTAATTACTGACGTAAGGCAACTAACAAAAATTTACAAATTAGTACAGATGAGTAACATGAAATTTTTCATTGCGAATAACAGTTGTAAAACAATTATTATTCTCACTGCTTCGTAGCATAAAAAAAGTTTGTCAGAAGTGGGATTCGAACCCACGCCCACAGAAGTGGACTGCGACCTGAACGCAGCGCCTTAGACCGCTCGGCCATCCTGACTTGAGAACCGATTTGGTAAAAAGAGCAGAAGAACGTTATTAAAATTCTAATTATAAAATATGTTTTTAAAGCTGTAATAAACTATTATATGTAACATGTTGTTATATAAAATCAATGTTGACAAACAAATTGACAATATGTGAAATACTTGTTAATGATAAGTATATTAAAAAATATTATGAATTTAGAAGCGATTGTAAATAATAATGTAAATAATTTAATCATATTGTAATCTACTGATAATACTGCAACATTGATTAAAATTGTACGTGCATTCAAAAATTTATATCAAAAAATGAATTTTCAAGAAATATGCTTAAGAAAGAATGTCACCAACGTATAATTGCAAAAATTTACGGAAATGATGGAGGATCTATAAATTAATTCATTTTATAAATTAATCCATTTCATACAGGATAAAGTTTAAAAACCTGATAAATTTTGAAAAATTGAATAAATTTTTTCAAACGTAAAATAAAACTTCTATTTCTATTTAACCAGAAAATTGCGAAAATAAAAAAAAGTGAGCCATTGTCAAGCTTCTTTCTAATAATTAATATTAATTTCAGCTTATAAGTAATATTTTAAAGCTTAATAATAGTAAATAATATTATTAAAATATTTTAATTAATAACTAGTTGCTTTAAATTCTAGTTGTTTAGCAAAATTTTTTATAATTCGCGTACGTGGTATCGACAAATGGAATAATGTTTAGAATGAAAATCACTTCACCGACTGCAGATACACGATCCTCAATCGAGTCGATCAAAAGAAAATCTTGAATGTGCGCTTGGGAGAATCAATGAGGAAAACTTATCCCGCAAAATATTGACTTTCACTTCCGCGTCTGAAGGCTGAACATACCCCACGTGCGTTCCGCATCGTTAGCACGTAACACTTCTACCAACATGTGACCGATTTGCTAAACATTCTCTTCTATTCGTACTGGCTATAATTACGATGATTTTTTTTAAACATTTTCTCTATAAAATTGATTACGTCAGACCTAGACTTTTGCCTGAAATGCAGCAATCATAAAAATCTATGATAATATTCAGCAAATCTGGCTAAATAAAAATAGAATTTTTTATTTCGTATATGTAAGCGTATAGCGGAACAAATAATTGTTTTAAATCTTCAACATGACAATCAATAAAAAAATTAGTTTCGTAATTTTTGTCTTTGAACAAATAATTTATTTTTCGATACTTGAGCGATTTAATTAGGCATGACTAGCATTCTTAAAGAAAGTTGTCAACCTTGCAGTACTAATATGTTAATAATAAATATGTTTGTTTATCTAAATATAATATCATTTCTCGAACGCTATTCACATTCGAAACGTCGTAAGTTCCGCTTGATTCATATTTTTCATATTACATATATTACATATATTTCTCGACTATCCGCAGTTAATTGAAATTGCGATATTTCACAAGCCTTTACAATATAAAATATATAATATATTATTACTTTGTATAAGGAACATTAAATATACATGACACCGGAGAAATTCCTTTTTATGAAAACATAATCCCTTCTTTCTTTAGAAATTCTATAGAGGAGATCAAATAATAACGTTATTATTTAATTCTGTTCATACATATATCTTTTAATTCTAAATGTTCAAGCTTTTTTCGTTATCGACGTCATTTATGTAATCTATGTAAATCGAGAAAGGAGAAAGATAAAATTAAAATCCGTGCCAACGTGCCAAATTGTCACCACGACCTTAATGATAACCACTGGCTATGAAATCCCGAGGGCATCGGTGTGACTGAAAGAGAAAGATTCAACGCCAGCACACGTAATACGAATACTTTCGCGGTGCATCGAAAACAAGAGCAAAGATTCGAAACCGATCTCCTGCTTCCTGAGCAAGGACTGGTTCGGAACCGCGCATGCATGCAGTCGATCACGTAGAAAGCTCGGTTGCATAAGCCACAACCGGATCTCACCAGACGTTTTTTCCGACGAAGGAAGAGAGATGAGAGCAACGGAGTACGGATGGTGAAGAGGGACAGATTGGGAAATTCGGAGAAACTTTGAAAACTATTGATGCACCCGGGAACGCGACGGACTTCGTGGCCGGCTGGTGAGAGTCGCTGAAAGTTGTTTGTAACAATTTTACGTGCATTGACCTTATGTAAACATTAAATAAAAGTGAAAACGCTGCATAAGATCATTCTATTACTCAATTTTCGCTGAAGATCCGGGATTCACTTGACACTCATGTGTTATTATTACTTCCTTCTCACTTGGATATTCCCGTAAGATATAACGAAAGGAAATGTTCATTTCAAGTTTATGAAATATGAAAAACATTAAGTAACACAACAGGGTATGTAATAAAGAAATTAAAAGTATTTTCGACTATATGTGTGTACATACCGGAATAATCCCTGTAAAAGTTTTTCTCAACTGTACATGACTCTCTTGGCGCATTGCTGTGAAACGTTGTGAGCTCATTGCATTTTCCAAGAACTTGTTTACTTTAGTATAAAATAATTTACGAAGGTTTGATCTCGTAAATTTAAAAAACGATTAAAAGAAACGATGCGTTTACGCGAAAATCGATTTGTAAAGTGTCGTATATTTTTACGTTGTAGATTTTTACGGTCGTTACATCCGAGATAAAAACTTAGATCTTCAATAATTCTCTCACCACACGGGAAGATAAAAAGTATAAGCACACAGAGAAAGTTCATGAAGAGCCGGGGAGTGTAGAGTTTTACAGTAAATATACCTCTCTGGTATATTTCTACTCTTTTAATAACACAATAAAAATTCTGTGTGTATGATATGAATAAAATATAGTGGCGATTAAAGTTTTGGACTTCTGTATTAAACAAAGAGGTAAATCCGAGTGCCGACATAGTGTCAGACACACAAGAGGCGTTTTATCATCATTGTCTTTATCTTTGTGTCAGTGAAAAAAAAAGCTTACATTTGCTTCCAGATATAAGACTCATATTTCTTCTGTTTACAGTCGAGTAAGCCAGATGCCTCTCATGAGGAAAATTCCCTTCGTCTTGGACCCCTTTTTTCACAATTTTCCAGGCTATACTATCTAGAAAAATACCTGCCTCGTCAATTTCAGTCCTTCTCGACATCGCTTATTCGCTGCCAATCTCAACTAAGATCAATCATCTCTCCTCTATTCACTTTATTATTTTAGATGACAGAAACCTTCTTATGATGGATAATATACGTAAACCTATTACTGATAAGAATGTTAAAGATTTCTATGTACATAAAATTAAAAAGAGATTTTCTCAGTTTCTGTATATATTTGTGTATTATGCTTCGCTTATCGAGTGAATTGTTTATTACTGAACTAAATATTTAACATTGATTTTTCGGCTTTGGTATATGATTCATTTAACAAAAAGCGTTATAATTATGTAGATATCTACGCGACTAAATAATTAATACTGATTATTAAAAACTATTAATAACAACACTTTTGAAACTATATATCGTATAATTAGACCATTCAAATACTCTCTCTATACAATAAGTTAACGGGTGAGAATAGCTATTTGCATTGTAACGTAAATGGCTTCTAAGCATACCTTAGAAATGAAATCCATATGAGCCTTTTACTAATTAGCCATTCCTCTGATTTACATTCGTGACGGGAATAGTCTGCTAACATTTTCTGAATTAAACACCTGTATTATAGTTCCCTCAACCAGAGTACCAACGTATACATTAATTAAAATTATAATTACTTTTGTATTAAATAAAAAGTAAACGAAAATAATTATATTACCATTGTTTTTTTTTTACTAATCCTTGATTTAATTTAATATGGAGAAATTATTGGTATTCTATTATGTGTGATGATAAATTATTATTAATTGCATTTTATAAATAAAAGCAGCAAAGTTCTTCTGGATGAATCATTTTTAATATACATTTTTCTATAAAATAATAATAGCCTATTCTTTGTAAATATTTCTTAATATACAGTTATCTTGAAATAGTTTATTTATTTAAATAATAGTGTATGTGCTATAAATTATGAGGAATATGAAGTAGTTAGCAATACGAATTAGTTGATTTCACAATGATTATATAATGTCTAATTTTGAAACTGTATGCTACATAAGAAAATGTATGTTATGCGCATATATAATGTAATGTTACAATGTGAAAAATTAAATCTCGGCTTTCGATAAAACTTTATTTACACGATAGTATAAGCACCATAAATTACAAGCAATGTTTACGAATGTAGTTCATTTCGTAATGATTATGTAATATTTAATTTTAAGACTGTATCCCAAGTAAGAAAATACATGCTATAAAAGTGCATATGTAGTCTGTTTTACGAATAATGTTGCAGTGTAAAACTTAAATAAACTGACTTTTAATATAAATTTTACAAGCTATTAATTATAATAAAATTTGTTATCAACAAATATTATTAGGATGAAAAAATACTAAGATTTATCTCATAAGACAAAATATCTTATATGTATAATTACACTAATTACTCTAATCAAAATTCATGGTTTTGAATTATTTACGTATATTTTTTCTTGCATTTTAAAATATTTATTTAAAATATACATTTAATAAAATATATTCTTTTAGCATTATATTTAAAAATATTAATCTTTATGCATTTTTAGCTCTGTATTTTTTAAAAATTAAGTAAGATACATAA